ATTCTACTCAACGCTCATAACTTACTCCTCTTACTCTCACAGCTACTACTACCCCTTCTTACTACTCACACGCTCCCCCTTACCCCTTCTACTCTCAACGCTCCTCACTTACCCCTTCCTTACACCTCTCAATCCCTATTCTCAGCGTCCTGCATTACCTTCTTACTCACACGCTTCCTTACTTACTCTTTATTTGCGCTCTATACCTTCTCTTAATCGCTCCTCACATACCTTCTTACTCTCACACGCTATACCCTTCAATCACACCTCTCTCACGTTCGCCTTACCTCTTGCTCCTCACTTACCCCTTTTTACCTCACACAGCTTCCCTCACTTACCCTCTTTTACTCTCCCCGCTCTATTAGCCTTCTGACTCTCACATCTACGCTCCTGCACTACCCTTCTTACTCTCACACGCTCGCCCTTACTTCCTATTCTACTCTCACACGCTCCATCACTATTCCTTCTTTCTCACAGCGCTCTCACTTACCCTTCTTACTTCACAACGCCTTACTAATTCCATTTACTACTCAACAACGCTCCTCACGTTACCCTTCTTACTTCCTCACAGCGTCCTCACTACCCCTTTTACTCTCACACGCTCCTCCTACCTTCTTACTCTCAACGCTCCTGCACTTAGCCCTTACTCTCATCCAACGCTCCTCACCTTAACCCTTCTTACTTACCACCGCTCCTCATTACCTTTCTTACTCTCACACGCTCCTCACTTACCCCTTCTTAACTCTCACTACCTCCTCATTACCTTCTTACTCTCACACGCTCTCACTTACCCCTTCTTACTCTCACACCTCCTCACTTACCCTTCTTACTCTACACCGCTCCTCACTTACCCCTTCTTATCTCCACGCTCCTCACTTACCCTTCTTTACTCTCACACGCTTCCTAACTTCTGCTCCTTGCTTACTCTCACACGCTCACTCACTTACCCCTTCTACATCTCACACGCTCCTCATTACGTCCCTTCTTACTCTCACCGCTCCTCACTTACCCCTTCTTACTCTCACACGCTCTCTCACTTACCCTTATTACTCTCACAGCTCTCAACGATTACCCCTTCTTACTTTACACGCTCCTCACTTACCCTTCTTACTCTCACACGCTCTCACTTACCCCTTTTACTCTCACACGCTCCTCACTTACCCCTTCTCACTCTTCGACACGCTCCTCACTTACCCTTCTACTCTCACACGCTCCTCCATTACCCTTCTTACTCTCACACGCCCCCACTTACCCTTCTTACTCTCACACGGCTCCTCACTTACCCTTCTTCCCTCAACGCTCTCACTTACCCCTTCTTACTCTCACTGACCTCCCTCACTATTACCCTTCTTACTCTCACACGCTCCTCACTTACCCCTTCTTACTCTCACACGCTCTCACTTACCCTTCTTACTCTCAACGCTCCTCCTTACCCCTTCTTACTCTACAGTTCCGCTCCTTCCTTACCCTTCTTACCTCCACACGCTCCTCAACTTAACTCTTCTATACTCAACACGCTCCTCACTTACCCTTCTTACTCTCACACGCTCCTCACTTACCGCCTTATTACTTCCTCACACGCTCTCACTTACCCCTTCTTACTCTCACACGCTCCTCACTTACCTTCTACTCTCACAGCTCTCACTTACACCTTCTTACTCTCACACGCTCCTCACTTACCCCCCTTTTATCTCACAGCTCCTCACTTACCCTTCTTACTCCTCACACGCTCCTCACTTACCCCTTCTTACTCTCAACGCTCCTCACTTACCACCTTCTTATCACACCTTCCTCACTTACCCTTCTTTATCTCACACGCTCTCCATTACCCCTTCTTACTCTCACCGCTCCTCACTTACCCTTCTTACTCTCACACGCTCCTCACTTACCATTCTTATACTCACTAGTCGCTCCTCACTACCCCTTCTTACTCTCACACCTCTACTTACCACTCTTACTCTCAACACGCTTCCTCACATTACCCCTTTTACTCTCACAGCTCCTTACTTACCTTCTTATCTCACACGGCATCCTAACACTTTACCACTTCTTACATGTCACACGCTCTCAGCTTACCCTTCTTACATCTCACTACGCTCCTCACTTACCCTTCTTACTCTCAAAGCTCCTTCAACGTTCCCTTCTATCTCACCGCTCCTCACTTACCCTTCTATCTCCACACGTTCCGGCTCCTTCATTACCCTTCTTACTCTCACAACGCTCCTCAACTTTACCCCTTCTTACTACTCCACAACGCTGCTCATTACCCCATTCCTTACTCCACGCTCCTCACTTACCCCTTCTTACTCTACACGTCCTTCACGTTACCCTTCTTACTCTCAACGCTCCTCACTTAACCCCTTCTTACTCTCCCGCTCCCTCACTTACCCCTTCTTAATGCTCAACCGCTCGCTCAACTTACCCCTTTATTACTGAACCCCTCATCTCTTACTCACAGCGTCCTCAGCTTCCCTCCTTCTTACTCTTCACACGCCCTCACTTACCCCTTCTATCTTACTCTCACAGCGCTCCTGTACTTACCCTTCTTACTCCACTACGCTCCTCAACTTTACCCCTTATCTTACTCTCAAACGCTCCTCACTTACTCTCTACACTTCTGCTTGACCCGCTACTACACTCACCGTCTCTTATTTATTATATTCTCTTATTTACGATTATACTTACCACAAACACACTTACGTACTCCTACTATGACTCTCATATCTTCTTTGTCTACTCCTACTTAATTCACACGACACTTACTCTGTCTCAAAGCAGATACCTTATACCAGGATTCCAGGGTTCCACCCTTACTGGCAGATCTGAGTTTACTGTAGTATATAGAGTGGAATCAACCACTGTCTGGAGTCGAATATAAGCTGTATGGCTGCTCCGTATCGTGACGTTTCTCTCCCGATTCAACATAGCATAATGCCGGAGCCGAGACGCGGCGATCTTCCCTTCTCGTCTTCTCCTACCTCAGCCCTATTTAACAAACCAATTACATCACTACATCACCACTCATCGAGGTTATAGCTTGTCCCGCTGAATGATAAGCAACTCGCGAATGCATTGGTCATTCTGTGGTAAGATGTTGTAAGGAGGGATGAATAACATTGGCAATGAAACATGACGGCCTTTTCATACGAATACATCATACAATGTATCGTTATTAATTAATAATAAAATATGAATGGTTTCATTGGATTTTTTACCTACACAAAGAGACTTTGTGTTGTTGGTAATTCTGTTCTCTCTTCTGAATTTTAAAATATTCAAGAATTGGGAGACTAATGAAGCTTATTGGATGTGTAGATATGGATGTATATCTACAGTCTCAGAATAAGTTAAAGATGTTTGGGGTGTAGACAGTCATCATACAATGATTTCTTTTACCAATGAATATAGTAAAAAGTTGCAAACGCGTGGCACATAAGTGAGGAGCGTGTGAGAGTAAGAAGGGGTAAGTGAGGAGCGTGTGAGAGTAAGAAGGGGTAAGTAGGCGGGCGCGGGCGTACCGCGGTAGCGCGGGTCCTGCGCGCGGAGGCGCGCGTACTGCTCGGGCGTCATGCAGGTGCACTGGGGCTCGCGCGCGCGCGACGGCGACGCGGGCGTGGAGAGCGGCTTGCGCTTCGCCTTGGCCTTCTGCTTGCCGCCCGGCGGCTCCAGCTTCAGCGAGTACGACGACGACGCCTTGCGCGAGAACTTGAACGACGGCGACTGAAACACACGCGCGCACACTTACTTCGAGTTACCTTGCATAAAGGGTTCTAATGACCCAGTGGCGACAAAAAGCCCGAGGACGTTTGGCTTCAGGGCTTTTTAACGCCACATATAATAAGAGCCAGTAAAAACCCGTGCTGCAAACAAGATTTTATTTTTACCTCGTTTTAATGAGTCAGATTTACTTATTTACTAATAAATAAATAAATTCCGTGCTGGTAGTAGATATCTTGTGGTAATCCATAATATGGTAAAGGAAATAATCTCCACAAATGTTTAAAAACACAAAACTTTTGTGGAGATTCTTTCCTTTACCATAAAATAAATAAATGTTAACTACTCGGCTTATCTTTTCACATTCTAATTTCTTGACCCTCCATTTTTTGCTCGTGGGTGAGTACTCACGCAGCATTCCCTGAACTGCTTGGCGTCGATGGGCGAGGTGAAGTTGAGCCCCCAGGTGTCGTTGGTCATCGGGTCCTTCCAGTACACGAAGCACTCCGACGCCTGCCCGATCCTCGTGCCTGCGACAGAGCAAACCAGCGCTCAGCAACCATCGCCTAGAGCACTGCAAATACCTTCACCTGCAGCAGGTGTAAAAGCTCGCCGGTATGTTCCTCTTATTGTTAGAATAAATAACTCCTCTACCATTTTGGCCTCAGAAGCATAGAATTCCAAAGAACATGCTTTCGGTAATTTTCAAATTTCTTTGTGCATGATGTAACCGGAGATTTTACGCTTATTCCCAACGCTGGGAGCGCCGTTCTAGACACGAAAATGCATAGACATAGTTTGTGAACAGCGAGTGTGCACCAATTTTGACGTCCATCTGTCGAGCTAAGGTTATCACGGGACTCGGGGTTTTGGGACTATTAGATCACGCGACTGTGTGCGATTGACTGTCGTAATTTTGCAAATTTTGCCGTCTAATTGAAAACTCTGTGATTCCGCTCAAGTAATCAATAGCAGAAAAATTAAAAAGTCTGTAGTCTTATTTTAGTGTGCTAAATATAATATAAATATACTATAAAACTGACACGATCACGTGTTACTACTTTATATAGTGTGAAATAATTTTGTAACTTTGTGGGAGTTTCAAAAATTGCATTGCAATGTTAATACAGGAATAGCAAAACAAGATTTAATAGAAATGATGATCCATTGTTTAATTGGTTCCTGGCGAATTGGTTCCTACAAGCTAATCTGCATTCCTTCACGTGAACAAACAAATTCGTACGTATTCGTGGTCTGGCAATATATTATTGAACCAACTGTTGTTGTCAAAACAGCTGCAGCACCGGAGAGCTCCAGGCGATTGACTTCACGTTGATACTCAGTGGAGGACGTAAGCAGGGTGAGCCAATCACCATTAAAAACACTTTGCAGCAGTTGTGATTGAGGGCAAAAAGGAAGAGAAATAAAGTCATTTGCACACCGCATTACAAGTGCGCTAACTCTCCTTCAGAAATCATTATGCAATCTACAAAGCAAACACACATGACTGCTCTAATGAGGAATTACTTATATCTCAACCACATGCTCCATACCACCCATCCCTTCTCGCCACCAAGGAGTACCACACGGCCCTCATTAAGGGACTCGGACCGCTTTTGCCGTCACAAAATAGAGCTTTGGTATTAATTTTTTATAAATGTTCATAATTTTCTCTTTAAATTGCTTCTCGAATTACGTTGATATCTCTCTTAAAATTATTTTTATATTATTTATATATGAAATCCTCCTCTCTTAACTCAGGTGCTGTCTACAATACTTTTAGATACTGTTACACCATATGTGGACTACCGAATGTGAGAAGAACTTTCTTAACTATTCATGACCTTCCTCAGAAAACTAAGAATCTAAATGAAACATGAACATTTGAATCTCCTTGCGTGAGCACTCATGCCTGCGTTTAACTGGAGAAGATATACCCTTAAACGCAGTCTTCAAATGAAATGCATGCCCGTGTTTCAGCTATGCAGCAAGTGTCGAAACTCTGCCACTGTCAAGACTAGAACTTCAAATAGAAGTCTTTACGTTCGCGTAAACGCTGCAGAGAACCATCACATCGAGTTAAGCCCTTGGCACCTAACTGGTAGCTAATAACTGATTTCAATTGCTCTGTTGCCTATTTGGGTACCCTGGAACCTGAATCGTATGGTACTTGTGTGCACCTGAACCATTCCTTCTCGTGAAGGAGATATACTTACGAGGGATCTTTGAGCATGTGCAGGTCGAAATGTGTCCTGATTTATTTGTATTGAAAGACATTCACTATTTATATGTATTGTGAGAAAATAGGTGTGTCGTGACGCACTCGAACTTACTAAAAAAGAATATTACCCCCTTGCCGTAAGAAGCAGCGAGTCCGCGAACGACTCGCGTGTGAGCTCTCGTTGCTAGAGCCTCCACCCACCATTTGCGCCTGACAGGTTCCTTGGAGAGGAACGGAACGTCATTTCGAGGATAACTGTAACCCGCTATAACAAAATATGTGAATTTATTTGGTTTATTCGGCAGTTAGTGACTAGGGATTCGCCACAATTAGTAAGACAATTAATTTTCTATTAATCTAAACAATCAAAACGATTATATTTAGGTCAATTAATCTATACATTAATAGACGATTATACGGTACATTAAAATTTACAATAATTCAGTTCAATTATTGCAAATCGATTTATTTTTTTTTAAATTTTAATGTTATAATTAGATTTAATTTTAAAAACTCCGCGTTTTCAGCACAAATCGGGTTTCATCATGAGCTCTTACCGACAACATATACAACGCGGCGTATTCGGGAGGGGGCCTTAGGCCACCCCGGAGGCGATGTACGCATTGATTACAAAAATCATCATTGGCTAAAAACTAATCATTGGCTTCCGAGTCGCTCGGAGACGTCTTGTCACACGAAAATATGGTATCAACAAACATTTCTCTTTTGCAGAATAATTCACCAAGTGACACCAGCATGCATTATGATATAAAATTGGTATGACGACTTACTGTGGCGTATGACAAACGTTAGGGCGTATTACTGGCGTGTATGTCTGTGAAAAAAATATCGAAGATTGCCAATGTTAACTACACTTACAAGCCGCGAGCACATTATACCACCCCATTTTAGCGGCAGCGATGGTCTAACGGTCAACGTATCGGACTGTTATGTCCATGTTGACGGCTTCAAACAAGATCGAAGCTGTGGATTTTTAAGGGAGACAAAAATCCTTCGTATGCCGCCTTTCGGAGGGGAAGTAAAGCCGGCTGTCCCATGTTAGTAGATTAACTTGCATGAAACGATTCTCAAGCCTAAATGACGTCTCTGAGCTAAATTCAAATCGCCTGTTTCGTCGCCCACTCCCACCGTCGCCTGTTTTCTCGCTAGTTGCTGAAAAAGCATAGCGAAATTTGTGTAGTCAGACGGAAGAGGAGACCTCATGGCCTGAGTATCGGCACGCAAAGTAAGGCATCAATTCAATCCACATCGGGATTCTGAATGTCGAAGAACTTGTGCCCGGAAAAATAGGTTCTGTGCCGCGCGGCATTGTGAGCAATACCATTATCTGCTTCCCAGTCCTGCAGAGGAGCACATGCCCTTAGAAGCGCTTGTTGTTCGGCGGGCGTTCCCTCGCTGACGGCAGGGCTGCACATACTCCGTGCGAACGACGATTTGCTTCGTGTCAAGTGTGCAAATTGTATATTTTTCAACGACTTTCAGTTCCTGTCCGTAGCTGTTTTCACAGCCCATTGAAATAGTGAAAATGTGTCTATAGAAAGAATTTGAGACCGTCTTTCGACCTGCACCTGTTGAAAGGTTCCTTGTTAGAAGTATTGGTCTCGTCTTCCTTCCACGCAGTTAATGGGATTGTATTGCTACTATACGATGGGAAAGGGCACTGCAATCACAGATAGTTTACGATACTGCGCATTGGACCTATGGCGAAGCATGCGTTCCTCGCGTTCGAGTGATGAGGGAAAATTTACAACTATAGCTCTTGCAGATAGAGTACCTTCTCACAATTACTTAACAAGTATAAAAATAGAAAGCCACTGATGATCCATGACCAACTGACCAATGATTTAAAAAGTAAATCCGTGGCACAAAAAATACTCTTAGAGTCCAAGACATTTAACATAATATAAACTCATAAAATTCATTTTATATCACAACAAAAACTAACATCGACATTTTTTAATTTGTTCTTTTCATTACAAATGAAATATAGAACAAATGGCACTCTGGCAATACCCTTCACAAAAAGCCATTACCACAAAAGAAGCATAGTATTAAAATACGATTGAATTCACTAACGATTATTTAATAGTAAGAGCAAAGGGATTCACAGTTCAAAAAAAGTAACAAACAACAATTTTAGATGAAGTTTTAAAAAAAATTTCAGAAAAAAATTGAAACACTGATTAAAAAAACAAAATTCAAAACTCACCTGGCTGCACCAACCGCACGTCCAGGATCTTGTCCACCTGGCTGTTGTACGCGGTGATGTGGAAGACGCATTCTGGTGAGTCCTGGATGCAGGTAATGTTGACGGGCACCAGGTCCTCCGACACCTGCTGCCACTTGACGGTGCCCGCGCCGCTCGCACTCACGTGAAACACCTCCGCCCACAGCCTGCGCAGCAACAGCCGCCTGCTGCGGTTACGCCCTGGCGCCCACGCCCACCGGATACACACACACTCCACGGTACATCCAACAAGGACAGCCACCCACTGAGACCACATGCAACACCAACGCCTGCCACGGTGAATCCCTCAAGAACAGCCACCCACTGAGCCCACGTGCAGCACAAAGACCTTCAGCCTGCGCAGCAACAGTCACCTTCTGCGGATACAAACTGGGGCCCACGCACACCGGACACACACACACACACACACACACACACACANNATATATATATACATATCCCTCAAGGACAGCCCCGCACTGAGCAGCACAAACGCTCCCACGGTAAATCCCTCAAGGACAAGCACCTACGGAACCCACGTGTAGCACAAACGCCTTTCATAGCACATACTTCAAGGACAGACATCCATTGAGCCCACCAGCAGCACGTACGCCCACATCCTGCGAAGCAACCCAGCCATATACGCGCAGACGACCACGGCAACTAGACACACACTCACACACTCACACCACGATACATCCCTCAAGGACAGCCATCCGTTAAGTCTTCGTGCAACACATACTTGCGAATCAAAAGAGCCGCCCAATGCAGTTACGAAATAGAGCTCACCCCACTGGACCCTAAACACTCACAAGCACGGAAATATATTTCTCAGAGACAACTACCAACAAAAATACGTTCAAAACAGTCGTTCACAACCTACAAAGACAAACTTTTTAGATGTAAGTACGCCGTGGCACCTTTACTCTAAACACGCATACTCACAATCCACAGGTAAGAGGGATCTATATATCACGTAGGAGCATAGCCTCTCAAGCACATATGCAACACCGGCTACGACCTAAGACAAAAACTGCTTCGTTTTGGAATTACGCCCTGGTCACCGCGTTCCGTAGACACACCCTCACAATTGATGGATTGAGACACCCGTTTCAGCACACGAACACAACTTCCGCCAACAACCTGCAAAGAAACATTCACGTGCTGCGATTATCACTGACGCACACTTCAAGTCCCCGCATACATTCCTAAGAGACGACATTTCTGACACAAGAACTTCACGTCTGCCAAAGATCTGGGAAAGAAACAGCCAAGTACTGCGATTACGCACTGCTGCCCCCACAAAACCCTTTTTGTCCTCAGATGCATCCCTATCAACTGACTGAACAAACTAACACACTCCCGCCAACAAACTGAAAAACACAGTCGCGTGCTGCGATTAAGCATTGGAACCCACGCGAATACGGCTTACGGATATATCCCTAAAAGTCGATACTTTAAGCACACGAAAAACACCTCTGCCAACAACCTGGAGAAAATAACCGCGTTCTGCGATGAGACACTGGCACTCACATGTACAAAAATTTACAGTCCACGGATGCAACTGTAAATAACATTTTGTGCATATGAACAACACCTACGCCAACAACCTAAAGAAAATGGCCGCGACCTGAAATTACGCACTGGCGCCCTCAAATACCTTTACAGCCCACGGATACAACCCTAAGTAAGGACTATTTTGCATTGAACAACCCGTCCGCCATCAACCTGAAAGAAACAGTCCCGAGCTGTGGTTACACACTGGCGCCTACACACATACTCACACGTGCTTACACCCTAGGGGATATATCCCAAAGAGACGACTTTCTAGCAAACGGACAACTCGTCAGCCCACGCGGACAGAAACTGCTGCGATTGCGTTGCAACTACGCTCTCACGCCACCCCCCCCTGGCCATACGCTCCAACAGGCATTTTAAGAGACGACCCTTTGACCAACCTACAACACTTCCCTCCACACGGGAAGAAATTGCTGCGTGATGTGCGGCTCCGATGAAGGGCAACAGTTAAGTTACACATACATATCACAATTTAAGATTACACAAAGGGCCATGAAGCAATCGACAAACATGAAGATTGCTAATCCCACTAAACCACTACTCCTCCTTTCATTTTTCTTATCAATGTGTGGCTTTACAAAAATGATTGAAAATCTAATTTAACCTAAAAGGAGTGTTTATATTCTATAATTAACCACAATGTATTTTTGAAATCACTGTGTTTATCCAAATGAAATCGAAATATTTACCTAAAATGTTTGTTATTGCGTCGCAAAAAAGTACTTAAGGAAAAAATATATAAATTTGAGAATTTCTAATGCCGAATAGAAATTGTAATTAATTTATATTTTGTGTTTAAAAATATAGAAAAAAATTACAAAAATAGCAAATATTTCATTTTATGGCAATATCTGTATGTCAGGTAGGAAGTGTAGGGGCAAGTTCTCAGAGATCAGAGGCTCACTGGAGTTGGTGTCAATTATTATGACGCGGCGTCTTCCAAAGCAAGGCGTTAGGCCTTGGGGTTGTAGACACCTTCAGAGAGAGGCTGGGTGTATACGTGGAGGGTTGTGTGAAGATGACGACGGTTCACCCAACCAAGTGTCCGTCGCGGCGACGTGGCCTCTAAGGCGGGTCCTGTGTGAGCCTAAGTGTTGGGGAGTTTACAGACGGCAGCGGCCCATGGGAGCAGATGAGTATCGCAGTAGGGCGTTGTCCATGATGGTGAATCCTCAGACCGATAAGCTTTCAGTGAGACTGGGTGTGCCATAGTATGTGTATGTCTGAATCTGTAAAAGGTAGATATAAGAGGCGCTTGCAACATCTCAACGAAAGAAGTGTTCGTCACCGCAGTACGTTGGCACAAGTAAGTCCTCATACTCCTTGCAGATATAAACATTGTGTGTGCGGCCGTGTTTCAACATATTTAGTGTGTGCTAATAGCTGCACCTCACCAGAGTAGATGCCCGACCGGGAAAGGGAAGACATCGTCTACCATTGCCTACATTATCTAACAAAACCATTGCGAACACAGACACTGTGTATGAGGTTGTGGGCTGAACGGTTATGAAGGAGCGGGTATTAGCCTCGCGGGACGACGAAAGTCAAGACAAGACCACATAGCAGTAAGACCTGCATATACTATCTGTATACACAGTCTGTCAGCGCGAAATCTGGTAAAGGCACGCTTTGCCCACACAGAGGGTGTGTTTAAGGGGCGGGGTGTGTGGAGATGGCAGCGGCTCACCGGGCAGGTGGCCGTCATGGCATTGTGATGTCTGTCAGCGCGAAATCTGGTAAAGATAAGCTTTGCCCACACAGGGTGTGTTTCAGGGGCGGGGTGTGTGGAGATGGCAGCAGCTCACCGGGCAGGTGGCCGTCGCGGCATTGCGACGTCTGTCAGCGCAAAATCTGGTGATGGTACGCTTGCCCACACAGAGGGTGTGTTTAAGGGTCGGGGTGTGTGAGGATGGCAGCGGCTCACCGGGCAGGTGTCTGTCGTGTCATTGCGACGCATGTCAGCGCAAAATCTGGTAAAGGTACGCTTGCCCACACAGGGTGTGTGTTGAGGGGCGGGGTGTGTGGAGATGGCAGCGGCTCACCGGAGCAGGTGGCCGTCGCGGCGGCGCGATGTCTGCCAAGGCGAGTCCTCGTAGCGGTAGGCCTTGCGGATGAGCGGCGCGCACGAGCAGCTCAGCTTGTTCCCCATGGCGTGGCCGTCGGGCGCCGTCCGTCACCACATCTCCGCGTCCGCCTAGACGCAACACACAACGCCATTACCCTTCACCCAGTGCCCCTTTTCTTCTACTGCTACTACAGTTAATACTACTGCTAACTCTATTATTGCTTTTACTAATATTACTACAATTATTACTATCACTACTATTACTACTACATTTGCTACTACTAAATGAGCTACTACTCATTCACCTACGTTTACTCTTATAATGGTCAATGTATGCTTTTGGGAGGGAAAATGAGGACTTCCTGCTTCTATGTTTTGCTCTTCTTGTTTACTAGTTGCACCCGCAAATGTTTTTAATTTTCTTTATAAGGCCACATTAACTTGAAGGGCATTAGCAATCACATTGTATTGCAACTTTTGGAGGTAACAGAACTCTGTCCTCGTTTATAAATCACGGTAGTTGTTGAGGAGACCGCATGGTAGCATCTCTGGGTACGTGCCTCTCAAGTCTGCTTCATTTCTCTTCTCAACGACCCCAACTGTGAAGGCATTAGGACAGTGGCAGGGTGCAGGAGGCTTACAGGGGCTAGTTCAACCCCTGTAAAACTTCCACTCGGAAGTAGTCAATCTCGTTTTTTAACAAATTTCACATGAGGTTGTTCGGTAATCGAACCCAAACCCCTTGGGTGAAAAGCAAGGGAGTTTGCTGTGGGCCACAAGTGGCCAGCAGCAACTTTGTTTGCGTTGTCTTGAATAAATATAGATAGGCAGAAATAAAGTGTGAAAAAAATGTCTTTGTTAATTATTTTATTTTAACGTTAAAATAAAAATCTTTATTAATGCTTATTTACATATTTTTTGTGTGATGTTGAGAAGAGAGGACTAATAGTTTCGAGGAATAACTCATTTGAGAGAACATATGAGTCATTTCACGCCAAATCGCACACTCACAAAACATCACTATTTTTTATCGACTTGAAACTTTTTTTATGAGATCTAGGGTTGAAAATTGTTGACACATAGTTTGTTTCTAATCCTATCTCATTCAGAAATATTATCAATTATTTTTTGCGGAAGAATTTTTCGTGCATTAATGTTTAAATTTTTTTGCGCAAGTACCGTTTCCTTCAGAATAATTAATTACACCCTAATTAAACTTACATATTGACATTACGCCGACACTTAAATTATATTTTTAAATACTCATATACTTCTACATAAATGTTGTATACATCTACCAAATTTTAAAGTGGACACAATAAATAACATTTAAAAATAATTTGTTCACCGGAGCACGTAGGCAGCCCGCCGCCCGCCAGACTGGCAGTTGGAACTACGGGGGCGTCAATGACACGGGGCATCGTGACGTACAAACACACAAGCAGCCGTGAGACTTATGCCATGCTATGAATGGTAGAAACACACATACGGTCTCAAATGGAATTCTTCTGACAAAATGCGACTATTAGATTTATTTATAAATAGCAGACTCGGCTAGGGTCTGCCTGAAACAGAGCAGCATTCTTTCTGAGTCAGTTCTGTAAACAGAGAAATCCCAGAAACATGCGCTTTGTTCTGTGAAGTTAGTAACCACAGATAGCCTTACAATGATATCAATATTATTGATATTTGCATTTTCTTAATATGAAAAATTTATAATTGCAGAAGAAGGGTACGTTTAGGTTGTTACAATCAGCATTCTTGAGAAGACAATTGACTGTTTGCCGTCAAAAATGTCATATGTATTGGAAAAACTAGTTTTCAAAATTCCTTCTCGCGACGAGTCAAGTAAAGTTTTTTCAAGAAAATGCAAATCGATCACTCTTGATAATGTCGCAAATATGTTGGGCAGTGATAATGTTGAATTAATATGCCCTGCACCCTAATATGAGACACCGTCAACATATTGTTTTACCATATAATGAAACAGTAACATAGTGCAGTAGAACCAAAGCACGGTTCTTTATTTATTTCATATAAATATTTATATTCAATTCTGTGCGATGTAACAAATTTCGAATGCATTCTTCAGAAAAATTTACGCGAAGTATTGTATTTCCCATAACTTTATTGGATTTGAAGCATTAGAAAAGTAACATTATAGCGCAAAGCTCTCTTAGTTTAGACGCATAATACACATACTTGCTTCTGTGTATGTTTGGTACCAATGATGGTAATTTTTCAATATAGCAAGGGCTAAGTATACAGTATGACAAGTTTGATGCATAACACAGCAATTGTTTCGAAGCTCTCACACGACTTAGTTCTCTTTCCTGCATGCAACAGCAGTGCGACGACATTGACTCTTGCAATTGCTAGGGTGAGAAGTATGAGCGATCTTGGACAACAGCTCCTACAGCCTCTACAGCCAGCACCTGAAATACCGCCTTTTATATGTAAAAATGTTTACATTTCTCCAGTCAAAATTGTGGAACAACTTTTTAAAGTACCGTTCTTGCGAAAAAAATAGTTTAACTTAAAGAGAAACTTCTACAGATCTTTTTGGTCTACCCAAAAAACTCAATTCCTCCATCTTCGAGGGACCGCCGCTTGTAAAGATGGTGGCTTTTCTCTCCCCCAGGATTTCAAATTATTGGGATATAATATAATAAATTGGTTGGGAATTTTTTTGGTTCAATGACCATCCTTCATGCACAGCGCTTTGTTGTTAAACGTTCCACACGGCCCTCGAGCGTTCATTTCGGACAATTTCGTACCATCGTCGTTCGGTATATAATTCGATACAAATATTATCTGATTAACACTGAAGTTATGTAAATTATTAATTAGTTTTTTCCAGCACTTTGAGGATTTATTTGTTAAACTAATTGATTTTAAAAGATGGCAAAAAAACACCCCAATGTATTTGTCTGACGCCAAAAGGAGGATTATCTGCATTGTCTATGAGCTTCATTCAGAAATGAAGGCGAGGTAACACCGTAATCCTATAACATGATCGATTATCTCGCGTGTGCTCGTCCCTCAGACCCGCCTACCATCCCCTTCCCCTTTTGGACACGCGACGGGACTTTCCAAGTGACAGGGTCTGCTGTTTTTTGTTGTTTTTTCGTGCTATCCTTCGCGAACATTATTATTATTATTATTATTATTATTATTATTATTATTATTATTATTATTATTATTATTATTAATTTATGGTAGTGGTGCTACAGAGAGAACAGATTTTCTCGAACCAGTTAGTTTTCTAATCTCCAGTGCTTTAGCTAGCTTTTCCGTTTGCCTTACCTACTTCCCAATTGCCATCTACTGTCTCCTGAAGATCATATTTGTAAATTTTCTCAATTTTTTCCTGCGCCAGTGGTAGAACTGAAATGACATAAATAATGGTATAGAATTGGCAAATCTGATCTTATATACAAAGTTTGGTTGGAAAGATTGGAGCTGTTTTTCAGAAAATTTCGTTTCAGCCTCTCTAAAAAGGCGCAATATTGAGGTCATTTTCTGAGGAAAATTTAGATTTCAAGAATCTTTGTTAAAAGTCATTATAGGTACTTATACTCACAAATACAAAGATGAATAAAAAACCGCAATTTCGTTAAAAAAACGTAGTTAAAAACGTAGTTATCAATGACGTGAGATACATTTAAAAAATTACATTACGTAATTTTGAAAAAAAACAAAAGAATGAGTAAATAAATAATGGCGTTAATGTCACGTTAATCAGTAAATTTAATATTATCTGTACAAAACAACTGAGAGAAACTAGTGGGGCAAAAACAGCACGTACTTTCTCGCCTTTCGTAATGGTTATGTAATACTATTATATCAGAATTTCTCTCCGAAGAAACACTCTCAGTCATAACTTTTTGGAAAACTCATTTGATATTGTAGAACATTTGGTGCAAAACATAACTAGCATATATGTCATTAGTGCGACCTATATTAGAATATGGCGCGGTATGTTGGGACCCATACCAGAATTTTGCAACACAAAAATCTAGAAAAGTCCAGCATAGAGCATCAAAATTTACTTTCAGGGGTACCCAAGATAAAGGAAGTTATGGGAGTCCACTCGATAGGGGAAGATTAAAGTTCACTCTCTATGCAATGTTATAAAGGCGTACACAAGCCTTCGAGCGTGAAAGAAATTCAAAGTCCGAATAGGAAATTTCGGCAGAGCGGATCACATGCACAAAATTCACGACAAGAATTCAGAAAACCGGACGTTTGGCGAAATATTCATCAGCGATCGCAACTAATAGGGATGTGGAACAGGTTCCTGTCTGCGAAATCTTCGATCCTTTCCCAGCCTGAGCAAATTAAAAATATAATAAGATTTCTTGAATGTTGGAAATATGTTATAAATATATTTAAAATAAAATTCGCTAAGACCTAGTCCTTGTGTTGCATTAATTATTATGTTATTTCGATTGTTATTATTATCATTATTAGCATTTTTATTAATTAATTTTATTAATCATTATTTAATTATTATTCATTATTATTATTATTATTATTATTACTATATTTACTGATTAAATATGTGCAGCTGCCAGTGAGCGTTGTGCAACAGAGAAAACGAGAGAGTAAGAAAGACATTACAGCTCCTGGTATCGCAGTGCGGTGAAGTGTGGTGAAGTGGAGTTCTATGAAAGATTGCACGGTGATATGTTCATGAGATTTGTAACGTTTGTAGAGTTTGTACAGTTGTTAAGTTCTGTAACGTTAAGTTAGTGTATTCTGCCACCAAGTACTCACACTTAATTGCAGAATTATTAATAAATCTAATCTAATCTAATCTATAAATTAATTAGTTTCAATTAATATATTTTTTATTGATAACTTTAAATGAAAATATATTTCTCGCTTTGAATTGATTGTATATGGTATGCAGTGTATTTAGGTATATACCCGATGGAATTTTTTGACTTTACTATATTTTGTGTAAGTTGTGTGCGAGAAAGTTAAATAATTAAAAGTAAACTTAATACTGATAGCGTTGGAAAACAAAAACAAATAGATTGAGAAATACATAATAGTAATTAAAAAACGCTATAGTATTGTAATATTATGTATATAAAAGTATTTGTTTATATTAACGCCAACGGAT